GGTTTCAAGGGCATTATGTCTATTCCAAAATTTAAAGGAAATTCTGCCTTCAGCTCTGTTGCAAATAGTTTGTGCAGACTTTTTGTGACGAGTGACTGAAACTTAACAAAAGCTCACTTTTGAGGTGAGTGAGAATCCATGGTGGAAAGACCTTTCTGCATACAGCTCAAAGTTCAGCCAAAGGCACAGTGGCATCCTATGCCCCATAAATAAATAAAATAAATATAAAATAAGTTTTGTGGGTTGGGCGCAGTGGCTCACACCCATAATCCCAGCACTTTGGGAGGCCGAGGCAGGCGGATCACATGAGGCCAGGAGTCGGAGACCCACTCCGTCTCACTAAAAAAACATAAAAAATTAGCCAGGTGTGATGGCATTCACCTGTAGTCCCAGCTACACAGGAGGCTGAGGCAGGAGAATCACTTGAACCCGGGAGGCGGAGGTTGCAGTGAGCCAAGATGGTATCACTGCACTCCAGCCGGGGCAACAGGGCGAGACTCCTTCTCAAAAAAAAAAAAGAAAAAAGAAAATAAAAGAGTTTTGTGTTGTCTCTTTCTGCTGCATGAACCAAGGGATGACCTTGGAACCCTGCAGGGGCATAGTGGAAGAAATGAAATACTTTTGTTTGGCCAACTACTAAATTTCGTTCTGCCAAGCACTGAGAAGCTAAAGGAGTATTGAATTTTTCTGAGATAGGTGTCCAAATGGAGAAGAATTATAACAGATAATCAAGGGAATTGTTGGAGATTGTTGGGAAGATGTAGGAAGTCATAGCCTACCAGTGAGAGCGTTTAGGAGGAACGAAGGAGATGTCTAACAGGAATCTCAGTGAAGTTTTGTGATCAGATGTGCCTTGTAGTCCTCTCTGTGCTGTCATTACAAAACTTCGTGAAACCTACATTTCTCGGAAATATTTTACAGATAAGATTTTTTGGAAAGATGGGAATAAGGGCTGAGTCTGGTCCAAAGGACAGAGATTCAGTTACAATCACAAAACCCATCTCTGATTAGGGAATAGGATTAAAAGAGAAATATACTCTTCCACTCAGATTACAGAGAATGGTGCCTATTCTGCTTCCACATTCTGAAATGATAAAATAGAGTGTCTTGAACTGTGTCCTGGCATTATTGCCTAGGTTCTTTTCCTTTTTCACTATGATGCCTTCTCTGCTAAAATAACCTTTCCGTGTAAAACCCTTTCTTTCTAGAGGAGCAGCACATTCGCGTTTATGCTTCAAAACTGGGTAGAAAGCATTCACAGAAGGCCTATGCAGGAGTCAGGTCTCTGTTTGTTTATGCAGAAGAAAGGACAGCTCTATGAAAGTACCTGTTTATGTGGTTTATGTTGATTACTCTGTTTCATGGGGTTGTGGCCAATCATTTACATGGAAAAACCAACTAGACACTTTTCTGTTTTGTGGAGCCATTCTTTGCTGGGTAAATTTATAAAATTTAGCCACGTTGATACGTTTTCTTACTGTTCTATAAAGTTATACGCGCGTGTGTGTGTGTGTATACACACTAAAATATATTTGATAAGCCTGCCTTGTTAAAAAAATTTTTTTCTATAATTTATGTGAATACACTAAAAAGAAAGCATAAAGAATTCAGGATATTCTGGTAATATCAAGTTTAAAGTGATTTCTCCCTTGTTGCAGAACTCCCTGTGAGACTCATTCTTGCTGACTGTTTATGTTGAAAAAGACAACAGAATTAAATTATCAAAAATTTGATGTAAAAATTTCAGTCTTGGCTGGGCTCAGTGGCTTACGCCTGTAATCCCAGCACTTTGGGAGGCCGAGGCAGGCAGATCATGAGGTCAGAAGTGAAACCCCATCTCTACTAAAAATAAAAAAAAAATAGTTGTTCGTGGTGGCACACGCCTGTAGTTCCAGCTACTTCGGAAGCTGAGGCAGGAGAATCGCTTGAACCTGGGAAGCGGAGGTAGTGGTGAGCAGAGATCGGGCCACTGCACTCCAGCTTAGGCAACAGAAGGAGATTCCGTCTCAAAAAAATAATTAAATAAAAATTTTAAAAAATCAGCCGTTATGACCTTCTATCTCTGGGGATTCTGTGGCACTTTTCTTTATGAGAAGCTTTTTTTAATATTTACACATGAGATTTAAAAAATAATTTGGCCATGCCAACATTTACTTTACAGTGCTCTGTTAACTCCGTCTGCCCCCATTAATATATTTCTAGGACATTGCTCTGTGAGAGCCATGTGTGGTAGGAAATATAGAGCCTTTAGGGAGATTGCAAACAGAAGAAATAATATTTGAGAAGCATATTGTAGGGCAAAATTCCAAGATGACCTTCAACGACCCATGCCTTTGTATAATTCTCTTCATTTGAGTGTGAGTGTGACTTGTAACAGGATGAGAGATCACGCCCATGATTAGATAAGATTAGACAGCACAGGTTGATTTAAAGAAACTGACTTCAGCTTTTGTAGGCATGGTCTATATCAGGTGAGCCCTTACAAGAGATGGGGCTCTTCCTGACTAAAGAGATTTGAAGTGTTCTAGGGACTTAATGTGAGAGAGATTCTCTGTTCCTGGCTTTGACAATGGACAAATGCTCATGGCCAAAAATTCATCTGCCTCTACAAGTTGAGAGTGTACTTTAACAGCCAGTCATCAAGGAAACAAGGACCTTAACTGCAAGAAACAGGATTCAGCCAACAAATATACTTGGAATTATGATGAGATGCTACTTGTAACATAAATTAAATCTGGGACCAGGCGCGATGGCTCATGCCTATAATCCCAGCACTTTGGGAGGCCGAGGTGGGCAGATCACCTGAGGTTAGGAGTTTGAGACCAGCCTGGCCAACATGGCAAAACCCTATCTCTACTGAAAATACAAAAATTAGCTGGCTATGGCAGTGCAAAACTGTAATCCCAGCTACTCGGGAGGCTGAGGTAGGAGAATTGCCTGAACCCGGGAGGCAGAGTTTGCAGTGAGCCAAGACTGAGTCACTGCACTCCAGCCTGGGAGGTAGAGCAAGACGCCATCTCAAAAAAAAAAAAAAAATTGGTATTAGACAATTTGCCATTACTCCCATGCAGCAAGATTATTCAGTTACAAAGGTCTTAATTTAAGGCAGTTTTTGTGTATCTATGACTTAATTTTATGGCATTGATCCCACGGGCACTACTATAATGAGAGCCTCACATGCTTTAAAAGATCAACATATCCTTTAATGTTGATAGGTGACAAGGTAACAAGGACAAGCGTCTCCTGTCTGGCTGCCTTTTAATTTTAAAAAATTTTTTACATATGGAACTGATTCATTTACAAATATTTTACATTTCTTTTGTTCCCGATTAAACAAAGTTGAAAACAATCTTCAATAGTGTAAAGAATATTTGAATAATATCATAAGAGCATAAAATGACATAGACTGACAAGACAAACTGATATGATTTTGCATATTTTGTCATCTTGTGTTATGGTGCTGGAAAACAATTTTCTATACGGTTAAAAAATAAGTACCAAAAGAGCCTGAGCAATTTTTGTGTGTTCTGAAACAATATTATTTTATCTCAATATAGCATTAAAAGCATTGCAACTCTTCCCTATCATTTCAGGTGAATATAATGCTGTAATACTCTGTAATAATACTGAATAAGATATTGTTAACTTTGAATTAGTTTTCTTTTCTTTTGGTCATGGCAATTCATGAGGGTGTGTAAAAATAGTAATAGAAAAATGCTTTCAAGTTTCTCAAGGCTCATAAATAATATTTGGCTTAACATTAAAAGTAAATTGCTTAAATTTTATTTTTAAACATCTGTCCTATGCATTTTAAAAGTTCTCCCATTCCAGAGTGGAAATCAACTATAACAAGGGCAGTCATAGTTAAGAGCTGAGGGTCTGGGAGCCAGACTTCCTGGATTCTAATACTGGCTTCATTGCCTGTCAGCTGTGTGACCTTAAACCAGTTAATTAACATCTTTCTACTTCTCTATAGTGTACTGAGCCTGTAAAACAATAATTATACTCATATATCTCTTAAAAGTTTTTGTGAAAATTTAAGAATCTAAGACATGTTAAAGTCCTTGGGCCTGTGCTGTGTAAGTCCTTGCTGTTATTAAGCTTTCTATAATATAATCAGTGTGATATTGGTTTGTAACAAATGACCCCATGGATGTTTTCACACTACCTCCTTCATGTTCACTGTGGGTTGAGAATCATGACTAAATTTACCAAATCATGGAAATTTGAGAAAATTCATTCCCAAGGGGATGAGAATCAATAAGTACTTTCTATCCCTGACAACGGGCCAATCCACTGACCAATCCAGAGTCTTCCAAAGTAGAGGCTGGCATTTATTGCTTGACTTTTCCATTGCCAGGAGACATTCTGATTTGGTCCTATACAGAATTTGCTTCCAGTTAATGGGGTCTATCCTTCCAATAATTAATGTGACATTGCCAAGAGGAGTGTTGGTTGGAATTTGCTTCTCCATAGAGCCCCAAAATAAAAACGTAGTAACAATCTTAACTTCCTTTGCTTACTAAAGTACTAGTTATTACACTACTCAATTTACACTTATTAGCTCCTTTAACATTTACAGCAAAACTAAATAAACAAACAAACAAACAAACAAAAAAACAGTTAATGTCTCTATTTTATAGATGAGAAAACCAAGCCTCAAAGTGGGTTAAAGAAATTGCCCCATTGCCATGAAGTTTGCCTGTCACAGCACCAAATTACAGCCACAGTCAGTTTCTCTACAAAGCCCTGGCACTCACACTACGTACAATGCCATGCTGTATCTCTTTAAAGACATATTTGCTGCGTGGCTGCTTGAACAAATATTTTAAAAAGAAAATATTTGGATATAGAACTATTTGTTTGCAGTAAATGCACTTGACGAGATTCACAGTTTCTTTGATTTGATAAAAGGTGATCATTGACTCTAAGACCTGATGTGCTCACATCACTCTCCAAGTGACGGCATTAATGATGTGACCCAAAACACCCCATCATACCTCCAAAATGTGGCGGTGGGCCACAGAGAAGCACCACACCTTGACCTTCTCGGACAGATACTGTGCTTCTTGTTTTAGTTTCAAAGTCTTCAATATCTTGGAAAACAAAGAAAAGCGGATTTATAATTAGTTACTTTGCAGAAGAAATATTTTAAAGAAGAATCTCAAGAATATTTTTATTATGAAGGGGAATTAATCTCATACTTTGCTGACCAGAAGAGTTAGTTGACAATCAATTTAACTGCACTTATTATTATCTTGCAAAATCTTGCATTTCTTTCTTTCTTTTTAATTAAACACAGTATGTGATAAAGACAATACTCTATCTGTTTGCTTTTATTCTTCCAGACAGTGTAGCCTAGCAGGAAATCTGTTAAGCCCAACACGTATTTACTTTGTCTGTCCAAGGAAGGTGTGATTTTAAAAAGGTATATCACAAGTTTGCTGCAGTCTTCCAGCATCTTAGATTAATGGTTGCCATTTTAAAGTGTGGTTGGCATCTATGTGAATTTAGGATGTAATGGTGTGAGGGAAAGCATTCTATGTGACAGAACCAATGAGTCAGAAAGTATATTTTCAATTTTCTCTTGATTTACTCCTTTACGAAGCAGTCTCATGATCTTATTTGGAATGTGATGATTTCCTACGTAACAGAATCACAGAAATTCAGAGTTGAAAGAGTGCTTACTAGCTACCTTGTTAAGCCATCTGAGGCATAAATCTTTCCACCTTTCTGAAGAATGGTCACCCATTCTCCTAAATTGTTTAAGTTCTTTGAGCCTCAGTTTCTTTACCTGTGAAATCCTTTCATTCATTCAATTAGTTATTTAATGAATTAACCTCCTAGTCCGGATGTGGTGGCTCACTCCTGTAATCCCAGCACTTTGGGAGGCTGAGGCAAGCAAATTACTTGTGGCCAGGAGTTTGAGACCAGCTTGGCCAATATGACAAAACCCCATCTCTACTAAAATTACAAAAATTAGCCAGGCATGGTAGCACATGCCTGTAATCCCAGCTGTGTCAGGAGGCTGAGGCATGAGAACTGCTTGAACCCAGGAGGTGGAGGTTGCAATGAGCCGAGATTGTGCCACTGTACTCCAGCCTGAATGACAGAGCTAGAACTGGTCTCAAAAAGAGGAAAAAAAAAAAAAAAAAAAGGGACACACTGAAAGACAGAAGTTGTATTAAAGGGAGAAGGTTTATTTGTGAATAAAACAATAAAACAGGCAGGTATTTTACCCTTATAGTGTTTACTACCTAATAGGAAGACCAGAATATTGTTTTAAAAGAAATACATACATCATTTACAAATTGTGGTTAGTGTCCTTGAGTGTAGACTGAAATTGTCTACCAAGATCTATTCTCCCATCTCCCATAATAGTAGATTTGTTGATCAAACATGCTTGTCTAACCAGAGATCACATTTCCCAGGCTTCTTTGCGGCTAAACATGGCAAGAAAAAATGATGAATGAAACTTTCACTTACTATGTTTGAGAGGAAATCTCCACAAATTTTGATGTTCCTGATCCACCTACCACCACACCCACCTAAATTGCCAAATTGCCAATGATATGGGAGGTCTTGAAAGCCACTTGTTGAACACAAAAGAGCCACCATTCACCTGGGTATTTGAGCGGACCTGAAGCAGAAACATAGCTAATCTGGAACATCAACTTCAGATCATTCTGTTACATATAAGTAAACTTCTATCTTGTTTTGAGGCATTTGTTTTGGGGTCTCTGTCCCATCAGTTTAACTTTTTACCCTAAGATACCCTGTAAAAGAAAAGAAGAGAGCACTGATCTGACAGATGAGAGACAGCCATGCAATGATGGTAAGGTACAGAGAAAGCATTGCTTCCAGAATGAAAAAAAACAGTACTAAATTTCTGGATTAAAAAAATGTAGGGAAGTTTTGTGGTATTGAATAGAAGTCAGTGCATAATGGGTAAGGTTTCATAATGAAAGCGCAGTAGTAAGCAGGATATCGTGGTTTATGTATGTATAATACATTTGGCTTAAATTTAAAATACAAATAAAATGCATTGGAAATAATTTAATAATATAGCAGTGCACATCATTGAATCATACCTGGAACACGCATAGAATGTCATGTCATTGAAAATTAGAAAGAATACATCAAATCTAAATGGTTTGACTTGGAACATTCTTAATGTCATGTTCTTTAAAAAGTCACTAAATATTGATACATCATTATCCTATTATGGAAGAAAAACAGTAAAAAAACTAATGTAAGTTTTTTACTAAATTGGCATAAAGTTACAGAATGGACTTTTAAAAAAATGCACGTTGGTTATCTTAGAGAAATGGCTGGGAGATGTGAAAGTAGAGATTACTCATCTTTACTTACATCTCTCTTTGTCTTTTAAAGTCTTCTAAAGATTACATATTGTAGTTTTTTTAGTTTTGTTTATTTTTTTTAACAACCTTACTGTGGTCTAATTGGAACAAATTATTGGTATTGTTTAGAGGAATTCAAGAATTTCATTTTGGATCTATTAAATTTGTTTTATCCATGAACTATCTAAGTGACAATATTACAAATACTATAAAACAAGGATCTCCAACCCCTAAACCATACAGCAGGAGGTGAGTGGCAGGCAAGCAAACAAAGCTTCATTTTATTTACATCCACTCCCTTTCACTCACATTACCTCCTGAGCTCTGCCTCCTGTTAGATCAGCAGTGGCATTAGATTCTCACAGGAACACAAACCCTATTGTGAACTGTGCATGTGAGGGATCTAGGTTGCACACTCCTTGTGATAATCTAATGCCTGATGATCTGTCACTGTCTCCCATCACCCCCAGATGGGACCGTCTAGTTGCAGGAAAACAAGCTTAGGGCTAAGAATTGGATTTATCAGCATATACACCATATTTGAAGTCATAGGTATGAATGTAAACCTGCTGGGGTGACTCTTAAACTTTTGGCATGAGCAAATTGGTGGACAATTGTCTAGGAGCTAAGCTTGAAAACCTCCATATTTAGAGGTAGAGGACCCACAGAGATGAGAGAGAGAGAGTGTTTGTGTAAAAAGCTAGAGGTGGAATAATACATGAACATTAAAGATAAAACAATGTTGGTCATATGTGATCTTGCCAAGAAAAGCTTCAGTAGAGTCTGGGGAAGAAGCCAATATTAATTGAGAAGTAGATAGTAGATAGCAGATAACGACATGGAGATCACAGTCATGAGAACTCTTTAGAGTTGTCTATGAATAAGAGGTGAGATTTAGGAAGAATACCAAAAGGTTTGGAGGGTGAGGCCACTATGCTGAAATAAATGATCAAGTGAAGAAAGAGACTGATTATTCAGGAAACAGATAAAATAAGGTCCTTGTAAAGCCTGAAGGGTGATAATCAGAACCCACATGGAAGGATTGGCCTTTGTAAGGAAAGAGAAATTAAAACAAAACTTATATGTGCTTATATAAGATGGACTGCAGAGTTTTTGCTGGGTTAGATGAGAAAGTTTTCGATGGTGGTTTGAAATTTTTCAATCAAACTGATGGGAGAGCATTGGGTGGTCATTTGGGAAGATAAAAGATGCAATAAACACACCTATTTTTAATAGGGTTGTTATGGGGATTAAATAAAATAATGAATTTAAAGTACCTAGACTAAAGTCTGGAGTATTGTTAATTACCACTACTTGGTAATTATAACTACTTGGTAGTGGTAATTACCATGATTGTGGTATTCCAAGTGGTTAGGGCCAACCATGCATTTTCCTCCGACTGATACAAAGTTCAGATAGACTAATCTAAAAATACAAGCTAAATATCACATTCTAGTTCCAAAAAAATTTTTGGAGGTAGATGATCTTATTTGAAACATTCACGGCTTATCTGTGCTAACTACATTACTTCCCATATCAGTGTTCTTTTTGTAAGCATTGCTTTTCAATCCATGTAAAGTATGAGTTCAATAAGATAGATTCAGCAGATCTGATACGTAAATTGAGAAAGTCTTATATTTTCTATACTTTTAATAACAAAAGTATTTGACTAAGATAAACTCTACTGATCCTCAACTACACCTGCTTCCCTTTCTCCACCTGCTCTCAATCAGTCATCATTAGCTTTATACTAATTTAGAAGCTGGCATGCCTACCATGTTTCTCATAGAGGAATTTACATCAAATATGCTTCCTTTCTTCTTTAGCCATGGAAAAACTAAATCAGCCTACATATGTTGGCACTGTTGATGTGCACTATTGCCTTGACTTGGGAGTCCTTTATGACTTTGGTTTGTATCAGTTTAAATGTGACTCCTGAATAAAAATCAGCCTAATAAACTTTATTTTAAAATGAAAAATTAATATATTGAAATCATTCTTTCTGTTTCTAGTAATAATCATCATAGGTGACAATTTTAAGGGTTTTTTTCTTACTATTATTTTTGAAAGGTCCCATTAAATTGTGACTACATTGTAATGGTCACAAAAACAAACACTGTCACAAAGGAGTAATGAGAAATTGAATGCGTCTATGAAATTAACAAGCTTTTGATTGAATTCTCTCAATGTCACATTGTCAGTGCTCCACAGTCCTAGGAACATCAATCATCTTTTCAGTGTTAATCAGGAGTCATTATAACACAATGTTGATAAGAACACTGATACTTTAATATATTCTGTGTTCACTTCCACTTAAACAGCATCCGCTTGTGACATAATTTCTCTGTGCCTTTTATGATTACAATGGGATTTCTATTAGCTGACATGAAAGGAAATCAACGCCTCTCTAAAGTCACACAAGTCCTGTTAGCTATCAAAACAGTCATTCCAAAATGTTACTAGTTCACAGGTTTTAATTAATAATTCACATTTTAAAACTGTTTAATAGCACATAGATCATAGACAAGATATAATTCTGCCTTATTTAAACTATGTGTCATCTTATGTGAATATGCTTTGAACAAGGTCTATTGTACAGATCCAATCTGTATTTCAAATACCCTTCTGCTGGCTGGAAACAAGATTTAATTCAGATCATTTTCTGAGGCAAGGGTGACTGAATTAGGTAGTCATACAAGCATTCAATGAATATTTTCTTTGCTCTGTAAGACCTT